GTTTACCAGTAATCTTGGTACAGTACCACTTCCTTTCTTCTGGAAATATCAGAGCATCATTTTTCTTACTCTGAGAACAGGGGTAAACATTCACCAGAAAACAGTATAGCACTAGTTTCCTTCTCCTGAAAACAGTGCAGCAGTGCAGCAGTTCTCCAAAACAGTAGGGTATGGGGAGTATCGGTTTCCCTCTCCTGAGAAAAGTAGTGCACCAGTTCTCTTAAAAACAGTAGAGCACCAGTTTCCTTCTCCTGAGAACAGTAGTGCACCAAATCCAAATAGCAATTCTCCTCGAAACAGTTTCTTTCTCTTGGGAACAGTAGAGCATAAGTGATTCAGTGAATTGGTGAATCGTTTCCTTCTCCTGAGGATAACTTGGAGCAACAGATTCCTTCCCGAAGACAATGTTTCTCCCCCAGAACACTTTTGGAATTCAATTGAGTGCCCTGCTGGTATTTTTGACTCCTGTTAACAGTAATATGTTCGTGCCCGTCTCCAGAATGGTAGTAAGGTAAAATTCCAGCACCCTCCTCAAGAGAACAATGTCAATAACCTTCTCTGATATTCTACAGTTCATCCATAGGTATACGAATGTAAATAAACCTCTTAACCAAGTAAACTACCTCTTTTATCATACTAGAAGACATTTGGGACTGTTTCTTGGTTTACTTTGGAACAGAGAGAGAGAGAGAGAGAGAGAGGCAAAACCACTAATATTTCCTTCAAATTTCACTGTATTGTGGCAGTATTTTCGATACTGTAATTTCTAGTGAATTTTTTTCCCTGCTCTTGCCGTTGTTATTGACGGAGTTGTTATTGACGAACAGCTTTCCTGGGGGCCTCATATAACAGCACTTAAACGAAAGTTAAACTATGCCTCTGCCACCTTAAATAGAATTAGGGACTCTGTACCAAAGGAACTCCATAAATACCTCTACCACACACTATTTGAATCCCACCTCACATATTGTATCTCAGTTTGGGGTGATGCAGCACTCTTTAGGACAGCAAGTATCTGGCTGTCTCAGAAGCACTGTGTACGGGTCCTCTTTGGTGATAAAGAGGCATACCTAAACAAGTTCCTTACATGTGCAAGAACAAGAGAGTTTGACAGCCAGGCACTTGACCATACATTCTTCCAACTAGAGCACTGTAAACCACTTTTCAAGCAACAAAACATCCTGGCTTTCAAAAATTTATATACATATCACACATTTATGGAAGTTTTTAAAATACTAAAACTAAGGTGCCCAGCATCACTGCAACAGCATTATCAGTCATCTTCTAGAAAGGAAACCACTATCATTTCACAACTCCCATCTAATGACTTTATATCAAGATCCACCAAAATTTGGAACACAATTGCACCTAAACTTAAGCTCTTTGACTACTCCTACAAGATTAGCCTTGCTAAAAGTCGCCTGAAAAAGGCACTTCTAAAGCTGCAACATGCTTATAATGATTCGGCATGGACCACAAGCGATTATGACATAATGCAGCTGTCATTTGAAAACAATCCCCTTCATTAAATTTAATCCAGTGATCTCGGCCCACAGGCTCCTCCTATTAAACAATTTTGATTTTGGTAAATGTGTGCTGACTCCACCACCTATGTATTTAACCTAATATTTAGTGTATTACAGGTAGAAATTGACTTAGGTAGGTATTTTTCTCTTAGGTAGATATTAAGAATTTGGATAATTTCTTAATTGTATGACTATTTCCATTACTGAGACGTTTTTAATATTTAATTTAGGAGGGTTTTTGGAATTTTTTTAAAGGACTGGTTCACAGAGTGAACAGATTCCAGATTTATATATTTTTAAACTGATATTTAATAAATGATTAAAAGAACAAATTTTAAAGTTGCCATTAGATCCAAAAATACACCCATTATGCTCACTTAAAAACAAATCTAAATCAGTAGGCTGTCACTCTATTAATGCACCACACCGCTACCTCCACTGCACTAATAGTTATACAATAAATTCTACAATCCTAATTTTGTGTCGTGATGGAGACCAGTGTTCATACAAAACTTTTACTAGGTTGCCGTTTGGTGTGAGCAATAGCGAACAGCACGCACACTCCTTTGCCCCGTCAACCTATATCTAATCTATTTAAAGAGTGACAACCATACTGCACATTGAATTAGGATTCCGTTAAATATCAAATTGATTTATTGTAAACTTGTTTAATCTGTAATAAATGGCATAAAATTGAAATTTTTGTTTAACTGAAATTTTTGTTTAACTGAAGGCAAAAAGATCGTAGGGAATAAGTAATCGGGTTTGGATATATGAGGTGGCCCGACGGTCCTACGGTGATGACAAAAGTCTGCTCCTTCGCAATATAGACCACTCCCCTATAATTATGTGTATAAAAGGAGGCAATTTTGCGCGCGCGACGCCAGCTATGTGTTAATTAATTACAGGCATAGCAACCAGTTTTAGGTGCTTGACGACTGTTACACAGGTTTCCATCGGGTTACAATTTACTCTAATTCATTAATATAGCATATTAGTCATATGAGCGGATCAATCATCAATATAAGTGTTTAGTTATTTTGTTGAAACAAGCTTAATAAATTACCGAGTGATAAAATTCAGCAAGTCGAAACGAATTAAATTATTATATCAGCTGATAAACTCGTGGCCGATTATTTTACAGTTGATCGAAACTGAATGGTAAAAAGCGATTACATATTTAAGAACAGATGTTACTTTACATTTACATTCAAGAAGCGACTAAGATCAAGATTGCGGTATGCTTTTAAAGAATCCTATATAGTCGATGGTGCTGTAGATGTGTCGAGTAAGCATCAAAAAGTATTAGTTTATGTTAGATACAAATAATAACTAAGATTAGACAGAATATTTTATTACAGTCAATAAAGTTGGCATACGATGCAGTATAAATATGACGTGACATGATCATACGCATCGTTAACACGAAACAAAACCGCGCAACATATGAAATGATCTACAACCAAACCACATATAGATTGACGGCGACACCTAAGATGCGCGCAGAATTTTCAAGTTCTGCACGCCTAATATAATGAAAACGATTATCACGTGCGCCAAACACCACTCTGGGATACAAGTAGAACAATTACATTGTAGGCAGTAGGGAAATTTAATCGTGTGTGGTGTTACCGCGGCGAAATATTTGTTATACCAATACCTTACAAGACATATTTATAAATGTGGCGGTTTTCCGAAAATTTCGCCATATTTTCGGACCGCCAAAATTTCGGTCGTCGTAATAGAATCTGTCGCATTATCTTTTAGCTTATTTCAATGACTGTGCCTTCACTGCTTTATTTTGTTTCTAAAATGTAATATCAAGTAAAATAAATAAATAAATTCTGGCATCTTGGGACAAATTATCACCACACCAATGACGAATTGAATGTCAAGCAATACAGTTTAAATTTGCATTAAAATACATGTATGTGCTAACATGAAAGTCTTACAGTCTTAATACAGACTAAGTTTGAACATGATTTTACCGAATTTCAGAAATTTCCTTACTGCTTACTGTCACAAAAAATGATGAAAAATACCCTTATTTTCTGTGACGTCCGAAATTTGACGTTTTTGTTCAATTTCGCCATATTTTCGGACCGCCAAAATTTCGGTCGTCGCAAATTAGGCCGCCATAAATATGTCTTGTAAGGTAAAAATATATTTTATCTAGATAAACAAATAACTATTTTTAACGAATTATTGGAGATAATTATCGGTTACAATTATCGGGGTGGATAGCTTAGGTGGAATGGCACCTGAAGCCAAGCGTTTCACAGGTGGCTTGCTGTGTTGATAGCCACCAAGACGAAAGAGGACTACAGCCAGGAAATGTGTAACATCAGGACACGCCTGAATATGGATATTATGAGGAGGTATATATGTGGGAAGGCAAAGAAGGCATAGACCGCCCCTATGTCCAATGTCTCCTTCAATCTGATACCTGAGGAGGAGAGCCACGATTTAATTTATTGTATATATACTGTTTGCCCTCATGTCTGCTAAGTATGGGAGGAGTGCAGCTGTCAAATGATAATAGCATCATCCTCTGCAAATTGGATTACTGCAACGCCCTTTATTTTAGAATTAGTGACTACCTCATCCAACTGCAACTTGTCCAGAATGCTGCTGCTAAAGCTATAGTGGAACTTTACAAACATGATCACCTAGGAGATACTCTGAAAATCTTCATTGGCTGCCTATCCGTTACAGAATCCAAAAGTCACTAATTCTTGTTTTTAAATGTCTTAATGGTATGGGACCGGATTATTTAAGGGGGCCGGAGGGACTTCATCAAAATTCTCTCGAAATTGATTTTATAGTTGTTTCTGATAGAGGGGAGTGATATCTATCAGCTGCTTTTGGTCCCATGGAAAAATATTGTTCATAGCAAAATTATCGCCAGTCAAAGGTCAGCGCTTATGTGTAATTATATTGCGCGAGCAATTTTCAATCGCGTGCCCTGAAAATTGAGTCTAAAAATCTATCTTCTCCTACAATTTTTGAGCAATCACCCTGAAACTTTCAGGATATGTTCTAGGGATCATTTAAAAGAGATCAATCGAGCCGAATTTTGAGATAGGCCTTAGAAAAATTTTTATTCAATTTTGAAAATCTTGGACCTCATTGAAAATTGAATAAAAATTTTTCTAAGGCCTATCTCAAAATTCGGCTCGATTGATCTCTTCTAAATGATCCCTAGAACATATCCTGAAAGTTTCAGGGTGATTGCTCAAAAAATCACCCTGAAAAAAAAATGTTTATGGTCTAATTTCTGCATACCATATGGTCTAGTACGTGCACATGTTGCTTGTTTATCTAAATATGAGTCGAGATCACCAAAAAGGATCCTTATACAGTGCTTCTGTGTGATAAAAAGACAATCATTGGACTGTTCTTTGAGGACAACACCCCAAACACTTATACCATAACTGAGATGTGATTCGAAAAGCCATGGACATATTGGACATTCTCAAATTATTTGTTATATAGTAGTGTTGAAAGTATTAAAACATAATAATGATTTAATTCCTATTTTGATAGTACTTAAAAGCCACGCTAAGAGATATTTAACAGAATTTACCAATACTCAGTTTTAGCTTGCATGTACATTGAATGACTACGCCAGTAACCCTGTATGTGTATGACCTCAGTAATGGACTCGCCAAAACTATTTCACCTTTTATCTTGGGCAGGTAAGTTGCTAATATGGTATTCTTTTATTGAACTATGATATCAATCATGTTAAGGGTATCTGACAAACTGACACCAAGATTAATGTTAGAAAGAAATAAGCTTATTAAATTTAACATTACATTAACTAAACTTACCTACATTGTTGCAGTTATTGAAATAACTTTGTTTGTAAGCCCTCTGCAGGAGCGCACTATTTTCAGACGTATAGAAGGACTATGGCACACTGCAATAGTGGTCTATGGTAACGAGTATTTCTTTGGAGGACACGGAATAGCTTGTTGTGTTCCGGGGACTACGCAGCTTGGTGCGCCTTTAAAACAGGAACTTCTGGGCTTAACAGCTGTTACTCAGGTGAGCAGTGAAAGACAATTATTGTTTCTAAGTCAGAGCTTTGAGCAACCAAAACTTGTATTATTCTCTATTGGGTGATTTTTTAGTTCCGTATTGAACTTTTTTACCATTTACCAATCCACTTTTTAGGGCAGTTCTTTTATATCACATAGTGCGTTCCATGTCAAGTAAATTTTAAGTTCTACAATTTCAGGAGGTATTTGAAGACTACCTCATAGGACACAGCAACTCAAAGTTCCATGGTTCTTCTTATAATCTGCTGGAGAACAACTGCAACAATTTTAGGTTTCAAAATTTAGCTATATCCAATAACAAACATAGGGGCAGATGTGGACGAGGTGGCCGAGTGGTTAAGGCGATGGACTGCTAATCCATTGGGCAATGCCCGCGTGGGTTCGAATCCCATCCTCGTCGAATTTTAACAAAAATGTTTTACAAATTATCTATATAATTACAGAAAATAAATTTCAAAAGTTTAGTTCGAGAAGTTATTTTAGATTTTATCGAAATGCAATTTAAGATACACCAAACTTTTACTTTTACGGTAGTATTGCGTATTATATTATAATAAAAATTATATATATTATAATAATATTTATTTTAGTGACGAGGTTGCTAAGTTTCTAGTGGGAGCAGGAATAGACAAGGACATAGTGTCCCTACCACAACGTGTCCTCTCCAGCCCTCTAGGACCTCTACTCAAGTTAGTTTACTGTACTCATCTCCTTAAGTTGTGCAAGTGTTCCCTACTAATAGTTACTGGAACTTAGCTCAGTACTATTAAGTGAAGTCAATTGGGGTTGTTCGCATATTACGTAATCACTTTTCGGCCAGTTGTTTACTCTTTCCCCTCCGTAATCAATTTTACACATATAATATACAATAGATAATAGATATTGTGTTAAAATTACGCTTGCGTTATTATTCAGAAACCCCCCCGTGATTACGTAATATTATGTGAACGACTGGGAGACCCGAACATTATTTAGAAATGCAGACTTGGCCTCCTCGGAAGTTGAGCGGCCCGGGTGATCCATAACGACCAAACATTCCTCATTACAATCCTCATGCCACCAGACATGCCACCAGACATGCCACCAGACATGCACCCAGACATGCACCCAGACATACCTCCAAACATGCAACCAGACAATCCACCAAACATGCAACTAAACATACCACCAAACATGCAACCAGACATGCAACCAGACATACCACCAAACATGCAACCGAACATGCACCCAGACATACCTCCAAACATGCAACCAGACAATCCACCAAACATGCTACTAAACATATCACCAAACATGCAACCAGACATGCAACCAGACATACCACCAAACATGCAACCAAACATGCAACCAAACATGCAACCAAACAAACCACCAAACATTCAACTAAACATACCACCAAACATGCAACTAAACATACCACCAAACATGCAACCAGACATACAACCAGACATGCAACCAAACATGCAACCAAACAATCCACCAAACATGCATCAAAATATACCAGCAAACATGCAACCAAATATGAAACAGTTCATTCTAAGAAGATAATTAGTACTGAACCCACCTGTGATGTATATAATATATAATTACGATAAAAACGATGTTTCCAACAATATGATAATTTGAATTGTAAGAGCCGGGTTGTTTTCCATGTGGCTTTAAGTGTGGTCTATCTGACCAGCTTAATATAGAGGGTTGTGTAAATATTCTAACACGGTATAAAAAATTTGTAAAGAACTTATTTTCGTTGCTCCGAATAATGTGAAGTTAAATCACACAAGAGCATACATGATAACACTGCGATATTTGTAGCGCATTGACCCGTTGAGATTTAAATTATCCCAAGTTCCTACAGTATAGATCTACATTAATAGCATGAATTCTACATCCGAAATACATTATATTATAATATCTTGCTTAACAAGGTCTGACCTTAAGAGCGCAAATCATTATTCATTCTCGCATATTAATAGTGCATAATATCATAATATCTCGATCATTAATTAATGTAGTATACATAATAAATGTTATGTTATATAACCGCGGCAATATAATACTACGTGTATTAACATCCAATGCTGCTAATACTTCTAACATTCTAAGCGGCCACTATTATAATTGTCTAGCTCAATAGATCAACACCGCTCTAAGGGCCCGTTCACATTATATTACGTAATAACTTGTTGGCCAATTCCCCCCTCCCGCTCTGTTATCAGTTTTACACAAAGCTACTGTGTTAAAATTACTCTAGCGTAATCATTTGGAACCCTCCCTCAGTGATTACGTAATATGAACGAACCTTAACTAAACTCTAACTAAACTCTAACTAAACTCTAACTAAACTCTAACTAAACTCTTACTAAACTCTAACTAAACTCTAACTAAACTCTACCTAAACTCTAACTAAACTCTAACTAAACTCTAACTAAACTCTAACTAAACTCTAACTAAACTCTAACTAAACTCTAACTAAACTCTAACTAAACTCTACATAAACTCTAACGAACCTTAACTAAACTCTAACTAAACTCTAACTAAACTCTAACTAAACTCTAACTAAACTCTAACTAAACTATAACTAAACTCTAACTAAACTCTAACTAAACTCCAACTAAACTCTAACGAAACTCTAACCAAACTCTAACCAAACTCTAACCACACTTTAACCAAACTCTAACCAAACTCTTACCAAACTCTAACCAAACTTTAACCAAACTATAACTAAACTATAACTAAACTATAACTAAACTATAACTAAACTATAACTAAACTATAACTAAACTATAACTAAACTATAACTAAACTATAACTAAACTATAACTAAACTATAACTAAACTATAACTAAACTATAAGTAAACTATAACTAAACTATAACTAAACTATAACTAAACTATAACTAAACTATAACTAAACTATAACTAAACTCTAACTAAACTCTAACTAAACTCTAACTAAACTCTAACTAAACTCTAACTAAACTCTAACTAAACTCTAACTAAACTCTAACTAAACTCTAACTAAACTCTAACTAAACTCTATCTCTCAGAGGGCACCTGGAGAAGATGAGTAACGTGGCCCCAACAGACTCCAGGAACCTCACTAAAACCACCACCAGCCCGCCAAGTAACGGCCACTGCTCCCAGGGCCAGGGTAGTAATGCTGCTATTAACTCGTGGGAGGGCTCCACTTCACTCTACTTCCCCTGTTTCTCTCCTGTACAGCTTACTTCTGAGGATGTAGCTGCTCTCAAGGAGGCTAGTTTGCAGTTTTTATTTAATTTGTTGAGTTTATATTTAGTTTATATTTAGTTTATATTTAGTTTATATCTAATCTTCAGTCATGATGAAAATCAGAGAATTTATCTGGTGTTAATTTAGGATTTATTTGATGAATTTATCGCATTGTCAAGTAATTTCTTGTTATTTCTTGTGATTTTAGTCATCTATTCATGTAAGTACGAATAATAAGGAGATAACAAACTGTATTTAATTTAATTTAGTTAAAGAAAGAAAAGTACAATATTAACACGGAATACTCTACAATGCAGTGCTATTTTTATTTTAAGTGAAAATTAAAACGATATTTTTTAACAGAAAGGATCATGTAAATTAGTAATGAAATGGCTGCGTTTAAAAGTATGCCATTTTGAATTGTTAGTGAGCATTCAAAGAACGTTTTCGAATTCAAAACCAAATTATCATAGATCTATTACACTACTAAAGTTTAAATCACGCAAGCCGAATAAAGAACCGGGGGATATCAAAAGCACTTGGTTTTATACAAGGGTATTTTAGCCTTATGTGAATCAATAAAATTGTGATCGTTGGACTCGGAGGATTGAGAAAATTCTTGACGCCTTCTTTTTAGGTGGTTTCGATGTTATAGGAATTAGGACGTCAGTGTAACTTCTAAAAGGATGCTGTAAGAAGAAGCCAAAAACGCACGAATCATACAATTTTTTAAGTTGTCATTTTTCATAATTCGAAAGTTGGGGCTAAATCTATGCAAAGGGGTCTTATGGAAAGGAAGGACGTTTTGAAAAATAAATAGAAAAACTTGGCTTACGTAACATTGAAAATTTAAACGATCTCTAAAACAACAACAACCAAAAATACCAAACAAGTTTATTCGATCCTAGTCTCCCCCTCCTCTACCTGAAGCCACTCCGATTTTACATCAGTTTGAGTTCCTTTATCAAAGTACAGTGTTATGATTGACGCAGAATTCCTGTCGAGATGACGAATCGTCACAAATTCTACGATCGCGATTAGACAAAAACCAGTACGAAAAATGAGGCGAGCAGTATGGCGGTAGTGAATCCCATTGGTGTCTGTGCTCCGGCTTTTTGTGGGGCGGCGTCTCCGCTGTCATCTTCTCCGCTGTCATCTTCTCCGCTGTCATCTCCACCGTTCCCGTTCACGTAACTGAAGGAAATAAGGGATTATTTGGAGAATTGCAACAATTAATGGTATCGCTCAACTTCGTAATTTAATTAATTAAGAAGTTTGTCTATATTTGGGTTAAACTTACTTTACGTTGTTTAATATAATATATTGCCAAGTTATCAATTTCGAAACCATGACTCGATCAATGTAAAAATGTAAAAGTAAAAACTTTGTTCGTCAGATATTACATCACCTAGAAATTTCTAATTTCTCTAAAAAAGGAGTGATAATATAAAAAACGTAAGCAAACGTGAAACAAAGAATGAAGCACAAACCTCGGTGGTTCATCAGATGGAACGCCAGTATTAACCGCTTTATCCTCCTCCGTGCCAGCCTCTACTTCAGCTACAGGTACCGCAGCATCCTCCTCAGGTTTCTCAACAACCACCACTCTGTTGTGATGCCTCATGTTCCTCTTCTCCATCTCCTCCACCTCAAACTCTACACCGCACACCGTGCTGACTGCCACCAAACATACCACCAAAACCAGAACTTTCATCGCACTCAGCAAGGGATAGATCGTGTAACAAGGGTATTCAACTATAGCACGCGCACAGGTCAAAGAGTTAATCTACAGTACAACTTAGCAACGAAACAAAGGATACCAACTTGGAAATGGCTACGCGACTAAAGTGACTGTGTCTTATGTGTGTTGTTCCCTCGCAGAATTGTACAGTGGTGAAACAATAAAGTTCCAAATATCTACTCTCTGCCGTGTGTGTAGGTTGCGAAATGTTGGAAATACTGCGATTTCTAACAATTGAAAGTGTAAAGGGGGAATTGACACTTTTTACGGAGAATCTAACGTTGCATCATTAAAGTTGTGCCTGACTAAAGAGCGAAGTATTGAATCACAGTTCCCCAGCTCTAATTGGTTCGAATATTTTTAATTTTACACAGTACTCGAATGTGGGATCTTCAATCACTGTAGCCACACGGGAAATTTTGTTGACGTTTCAATGTATTGAGCAAGACGTGTCCCCTCCCTTCAATGGTTATCAAGTACCTAATAACCTATTATCAATAGCAAATATCGGCACTTTCATATGCGACAAAGTGTATCATAGAGGTATACTACCAACATTTAGTAAAATACCAACTCTAGTGTCTCACGGTTACTATGGTTACAAGGTTACTACGTCATTGTGACGTCATTGTGACGTCACACTTTCACGTATTGCTTTATTTCAGATTGATCCAGCTCTCCCAGCAACTATAACACACGGTCCCCTCTCAGCGGAGGATTTGGTGCTTATCTGCAAGCTTTACCAGACGAACAGGCTCGTTTTCGTGCGAACTGCCGCTCTTCTAGCACACAAATCAGGTTTGGTTTGTTGTACGTGTTTGATGATGCGAGTGACAAATTGGGCGTGTTAAAACTTTAGCTAGAGGATTGGTACTTTAATCAACATGAAATAATGTTGAGAAACTATTGGACGGATAGAGGTTATATGGATGAGCTATGAGACGTTAGATAATGAATAGTTTTATGAAGGAGTATGTTAGACTCGTGATCCGGATATCGTAGAAATACTCAATTTTGAACAAACAGTCTCTGGTTAATAAGTGATCGTTCACGTTACCCCTCACCAGGGTTTATAACACTAGCGCTAGCGGACCAGCAACATACTAAAACATTACCCCTCACCAGGGTTTATAAGATTAGCGCTAGCGGACCAGAAACATACTAAAACATTACCCCTCACCAGGGTTTATAAGATTAGCGCTAGCGGACCAGCAACATACTAAAACATTACCCCTAACCAGGGTTTATAAGATTAGCGCTAGCGGACCAGCAACATACTAAAACATTACCCCTCACCAGGGTTTATAAGATTAGCGCTAGCGGACCAGCAACATACTAAAACATTACCCCTCACCAGGGTTTATAAGATTAGCGCTAGCGGACCAGCAACATACTAAAACATTACCCCTCACCAGGGTTTATAAGATTAGCGCTAGCGGACCAGAAACATACTAAAACATTACCCCTCACCAGGGTTTATAAGATTAGCGCTAGCGGACCAGCAACATACTAAAACATTACCCCTCACCAGGGTTTATAAGATTAGCGCTAGCGGACCAGAAACATACTAAAACATTACCCCTCACCAGAGTTTATAAGATTAGCGCTAGCGGACCAGCAACATACTAAAACATTACCCCTCACCAGGGTTTATAAGATTAGCGCTAACGGACCAGCAACATACTAAAACATTACCCCTCATTACCCCTCACCAGGGTTTATAAGATTAGCACTAGCGGACCAGCAGCTGTACAAGTTAATAAAGGAGTGCTGTGTAGGGGGAGGCGAGGAGAAGGAGTTGAATAACGCCAGCGAGATTCTCTGCAACAACTTCTTATCAGGTTCCTGTTGTAATATATTGTCGTTAACTATTCTATTATATAATGTACCTTACCCGACTTTATTTGTTCGAAATTATGTCCGTTCACGCAATGTTCAGTCAAATAACTTCCGATAAGGTAGTTGCTGCTTCTTTCTTTACGGTTATACCTGAATAGTGAATAGTTCATATTCAAGTGTGTTTCTGGTTGAGTTTCTGCTTTTGTGTGTAAATACAGGTGGTATTTATTAAGATTATTCAAGTTAAGTTGTGTTGCCCTAAACTAGTCCTAATCTACGTGTGTATGTGTAGCTCTAATTGTAGCTCTAATTTCAATTAGCGAGCTCCCTAATCAGTTGTTGAATTGGTGATCAGCGGTCACCTAGCCCGTAAGTACCTGTTAGCGTACGTGGTGTTATACTCTTACATAGTGAGAGTATTATATATATACATAACTAATACCACGTGATCTAGTCTAGACACACTGTCTGTAGCAGACTGAGACTAAGAACCGAGTAGGTAGTATTTCCATTACCGGACTGAAAATGAATCCTGTGGCCGGACTGGACCTGGTGTCTAGCAAGGTAGCCCAACTGTGGAACCTAGCAAGGTAGCCCAACTGTGGAACCTAGCAAGGTAGCCCAACTGTGGAACCTAGCAAGGTAGCCCAACTGTGGAACCGAAGCAGTTGGAAGCAAAGGTTTGTAGCCGGAAACCATATTTCCGGTCGGTTCCCAAATCTAGACCCACGCGGTATGTATTATAATTGTATAAATTTGCTAATTAATTCTCACATTTGTCAGGAATGAACCAGATTGACAGATCTGAGGGTGAGCTGATTAATATAGTGACTGTTAGGATAGCAAAGAACACTCTTGTCGACGCTACTGTTCCCTGTGCTAGGTACGAGTTTATATGTTTCTTTGGGGAAATTTTAGTCTCCCTTTTAATAATTAAACTAGATAATTTGTTGCAAATAATATTGAGATCAAACTATCGATCTACAGACAGTCAAACATGTTGCAAGATGACAAACATGTTACATGTTGCTTGAGGCGTCATCTTCACTCTTCAGTGACATTAGTCTCAAATTATTTGTGATATAGTTTAAAGTATTGAAACCTTCATGTATAGAAAGAAAACAACAATTTTATTTAGTATCAATTAAAGCACACAAAAATATATTTCATATATATTATATATAACTAGCACGAACTTTAGATCAGATATCTTAGGGGACTTGGAGTAGCAAGAGATTGACTAGACTTGGTATATAACTTTTACAAAGATACGTTGAGAAGAATCCAGGGTGATACAGGATCGGAGAGTGCAGACCAGAAGTTTACGCACCCACCTTTGCCTCCTGAGTTCTTGGTTGGATAGAAATTTATGCAAACTTGGTCGTTTATACTCCAAGTCCCTTTCTTAAAAGAAGTAGTATTAACTATGTCTAGAGTTAGCTTCGTTCAATAATAACAATATCAATATAATCAATATCAATATCAGATAAACCTACCGAATAAATTATTAAATATCAATTAATTCATTCCGATAAAAATTTTTATAAATTTAGATGTTTAACTTATCTAAAAACATTACAACAAATGGTTAAAAAGCGCCCAAAATCGATTTGAAAGATTTTCTGTCTATAGTACAATCATGATAGTAATAGTAAGTGTGTGCCGCTGGCTGCAATTAGATTTGATTACTGCAATTTGAAATTGTTTGGAGTCCAAGTATCTTTTAAGTCAGCTGCCTGTGCTTGTATTAATAGTGCTTTGGTTCTCAGTTTTATCAAGCTAATGGACGTTTCTAAGCAATTGCTTGAAGTTAAAATTTTTCTATGAACAGCGTTCCAAAGCTTGGCTGCATTAAACATATATATATTTAATTATTATAACAATGATCACATCATTGAATGAGATATTGTCATATCGTAGAGACCACGTGAATTATAGAGGCCGCATGGGGGCAATACTTACAATTATCCACTATTAGTACGGGAGATATGTATAAGATGTATCTGTAACCATCTGTAAACATTTTTAATAAGATCGTTTCTCAAAGTTCTTAAGAGCCTATTGGACCAAACTACGTTGAGAAAAGATCTTCTTACAATTTTTCAAAGACGGCTCTAGATCTCAAAAAACTATAGATCTCCAAAACTATATACAATAGAGATGATTAGCAACAACAACCAACTAATTACGACCGTATTCTCTCAGGACGGCATACAATTTAGCCGGGAGTCCCCTAACAGAGGACCAGATCCTAGAGATCGGAGGAGCTCTAATCTTCTCCCTCCCGGACACCACGGACAAGTTGAGTAATGTTAACGGGGACGCTGTATCAACCTTCGATCTGTTGTTGAAGTCCCTGTATCTGTTGATGATCAAGAACAGACAAGTTGCAGACTTGTGTAGTGCTATGGATAAGGACATTGCTATTTTTAGGAGTGTTCCCCAGCTGCTGGGTATTGTTGGGAAGATTCTAGAGATTCAGAGATCGGGCTGAGAGTTGGTTTGAGTTAGGGGTGATATTTTGATTTTTGTGTTATAATATCTGAATTGGGAACTTAATGCCCACGTGCACCCTCTGCAGGTATCAGATAATTTAAGACTGAATTTAGTTGACTATATTCTGGATATATTATATAAATATGATATAAAAGTTAGATTTGTGTTGTACTATCATAACTTTGAAATCGTTAAATGTTGATCATTTGAAAGTTTTATACTCTCAATTCAAAGAAATATGATATAACTTAGTTTACTAAATTAATTAATTAAATTATCCGTGTGTTGCCCTAAATTTGTTAATGCCTCATTCTGCCCCCTCGCTTCTCTTCTATCCTGCTATCTCAATCAATACATAGTTTATAAAATTACTGGAGATAATGTTACATGACCTGTTCCATAGCCTGAACCCGGATCAGATGGTGTCAAGATGCAAAAAAAAAAAGGAAAAGAAAAATATATTATATTGACATCAGCACAGTTCGTATTTGTCGTCAGATTTAAGTTGGCTCTTATATTAGATTCGATTGTTGTTTTATGTAATGGTCGCAAAAATGGGAAAATAAGTCTCATTCTTTAGTTTGAAGTTGTAATTCTAAGTAAAATAGTTAATGTTCTTGAAGTTTATCTCGATTGTATATATTGTGCAGTGGATTCCGTATTATTTATGAGTCGAATTTGAATAGCAAACAGTAATAGCAATTAGATTGGAGTTTCATTCTCTCGGCGAAAGTTTGATACGACTTTAAAAACAATCGGGTTTATCGTAGTACCCATTACCTATAATTAGCTCTACAAAATCTCACTAATTCTGTGTTAAAATCAATTAATTTGTAGCTCTCCACTTTCATGTTTTTACCACCTTTTGATTATCATAACTAACTGATCATCAATAAATTAATTATCTCTTCGTCGTAATCTCAATACCGAAACATCCTAAAGATATCCTAAAATCAAACCGTACGCTCAGGTAATGCACGGCTAAAGAATGTACCTGACTGACGTGCAGACTATCCGAGATGTACCAGAAAAGTACCACTGGTACATAATCTTCTTCATAAACAAGAACCACGTGGGGAAACGTGGCAGGCACGTGGGCACATCTCCTCATCTGACTGAGTTCCTTCCACCTTACTGCAATGTTCTGTACAGTAATTGTTTTGAGAGTGTGTCCCGTGGACAGAGATCTTATCAGCTCGTTAATAATGGACAGCTTAACGACGGAAAACTTAATCAGAGAGAAGATCCTCACACATTCCCTGAGAACTGGCCAGAAAGAGTACCACGAGGGTTGCATGACACTCTGGGTGTCAGACTTCAGTTCTCATCATGGGGTCTTGAAGAGTTCCACAGAATCAAGGGAAACAGACGTGCTGTGGAGAGCAGTGGTGAGATTAGTCTTGGATCAGATAGCGATAAAGAGAATTGTTTAGTCTGGTTAAACAGTATACTACCTACAAAAACAACTGGTGGTAAAAGTTCTGTTGGGCATGAAGAAGCATCAGAAGATGAATATTCAGATGAAGATGAACATTCAGAGAACGATGAACATTCAGACTCAAAGGGGGGATCCAACTTCAGTGAACGTATGTCAGAGCTCATACAGTTTGTGAATTCTGAGCAGGAAAAGATAGACGAACACAAGATATTAGAATCATATGGAGCGGACATAGACCCTTCGATAGAATCGAAATCCGATGTAATCAGTTATTTGAGAAACTTTTGTACTCAAACAGTGACCAGAGAGCATGTTTGCGAGCGAAACAGTTCATCAGAATCCGACGATTCATCTGATGATTGTAGCTCTGTTGACGATCCTTATGCTCAAAATTCATTCGTTCAGAGAGCGAGTGAATTCAATCTTTGTAGGTGTGACAATCCTGATTGTTTAGGACAAGAGCACTGTTATTTATTGGAAGAGGCCGAGGACTCCAGCTCTGATTCAGACTCCACCACCATCAGAACACTCTCGGAGGTTTCAGAATCTTTTAGTGCCGACCTCCAGCAAACAACAAACATGGAATGTGGTCCTTCATATTCTGGTGGAGCAACGTCTGACTGTTTACCAAGTTCTGAAGAACTTCTTGATTGTAAAGGAGAAGGTAAAATGTCAAGATTCATCAGAACGACTGGAGACAATATCAGGAGGAAATTACCAAGCATCAGAAATCCTTTCAAACGAAAAAGAATTCTGGACCCTGATTATATTGTGTGATAATTTGATAACATTTTATAGTGATCACGAAAACTGCCCAAAAATGACATTAAATTACAAAGAAATTATCATATTATATTCGTTTTTGTTTTATCATAATATAACTTATAGGTAATTATACTGATTTTCCTAATCAGTGATTTTATATTTATTACGATCAAATTGTTTAATTTATTACCGTTGTTTTTACCCATGTTATTATGTCAAATTTGCATTCCTTTTTTACTGCTGATCAGACCCTTTATTCAGATCGTATTGCTACTTCTTACCTACGGTTTATATTCTGTATTTTATGGAATGTTGTATCTTAATATAATAAACGGTGTTTCATTTTAGTTTTGACCGATTTCAGATGATTTCTAAAAGTTCACCCAGCCATAAAACTAAACTTGATTTCTCTTCACTCACCCCTCCCCCTCCACCTACATCCGTTGAGAAATATAAATCATATTAATTCATTCACAGGTTAGCGTTAGGAAGGAACTGCAACATGAATAACCAGGATGTGGAAATGATACGTGCATTGCCCGAGAACTTTTTGTGGTATATTGATGACTTTATCATCAAAGCTGATAATTATTATAAAGCAAGTGAACGTAATTGCGACGTCTATGAGAGTGAGTGTTTTAGTAAACTGTGCCCCAAAGTCAAGAAAGTGACTCAAAAATCCAAACAACAAAAGTCTGATCCGACAAAACCAGTAGAGGATGATCACTCGTTGTATGCTTCACTTATGGACCAAACGATATTAAACAGACCTTTCCTCCCTTTCCTTTGATAAAGAGCTCCGCTGAGTTGGAACAATTTTTATTGGAGGGATCTGACAAAGATTGTACTTGTAGGAAACCGGTGTTAAACTCTACTTTTGAAAAACTAGTTATTGGTGTAGAAATGTTTTCTAAAACCGATTTAGACACGAAAGGTGTGCTCACTATCAGGTCAGAACGCATCTCAATGGACAATCCACCAAACAATATTGAGCATCTTAAAGAGAAAATCAGGCACCATGCAAAATGGCTCCTCGCAGACAATCCCTGCACATTGTCCTCGGACAGAGACGTCAAATTCTCTGATATTATTTTTATCTCCAAAAGCGAATTTGGTTTGTTGCTTGATAAATTCATGGCTAAAGTCCTCGACGTGAACTCAAAATGCTCACATGAGATTGCAAAAGCCATCATGAAAGACCCAGAGCTTTCTGTCGTTACATTGTTTGCCTCTCGATACCGACTTACTCTATATAGCGCCGAATCGATGGGTTTCAAATTCCGCAAAACGATAGAAGAGATTTGTGAAGAAATGAAATTGATGGGAGTTGAAACTGCTCTGAAATGTGTGGAAGAAGTTGGGGCAGCATTTTGCTCTGGTGGCCGCAGAGTAATGAATAGGTTTACATCACAAGAAGAAACAATCGACATCTTGAATAACTCAGCAAGGTTCCTGAAAAGATTCCTGTCGGGGCTCCTGAAGGAGTATTTATACTCCTTTATAAAGACTTTCGTCGAACGAACACTGCAGGAGTTGAGGGTGAGAATATTCAGGAGTACGACATCTTTTGCAACCCTGTATATAGACAGATCTTCGTTCTTATGGAGATGCGAGATCGATACCGATCGCTTGGACTCTTTACGAATTGATCGGCGAATACAGGTCACCTTCTATCTTGTAGTTTGATCATGTTGAGACAAATCTCAAGATATATTATTAGAGTCTGCACTGTTATTGTTTAGTGTTTACAAGACGCATGAAATTACCGTTTTTGTCTCCTTAATTTTGCAGTAAAGCAGTTGATATCAAAGGAAATTTATTTGATTTTCGTTAAGTTGTTTAGATTAATCAAACTTTTCCTAATTTTTTAGTCTCAGTATTTATTATTTAAGTTCATGATAGTACACTTTACAGCCTATGTTTCATGAATTTTAATCACTTTAAATTATTTATATTTTTTGCTATTCCAGCGTTTTTAACCGTTTTTATTAAGTTATTATGCATTTCATATCATATTTTTAAATTTTAGGTATTATGCTATAATTACTTGTATTAGCAATTAATTGCGATTTACTATCATTCTGTATCGTTTTAATGTCAGAAGGCAGTGAATCTTTGGATCAATCGTAGTCCAAATATTTTTAGTGTTTTCTTTGCAGACTATCGGAAAACGGTAATCCTATAAACAGTCAGAGAGTCCTGAAGCAGAAGTTGTTTACTTGTCGAGGATCCACAGCATCCAGTCACTTAAAATGAGTTTTCATAAAAAGTAACACTAAATGACAAAAAAGTTTAAAGTAAAACAATTATAGTATCAAATTATTTATATTAGTGGAAAACAACTTTATAAAAAAATTTGTCACATAATTTCATTACATCCTATTGCAGATCGCCCAGTTTAAACTGATAAAACTGTCATCTTTGCTTTATAGGAATTAGGGAGGAACGACAGAGACTAGATCAGACGAGTTTTAATCGGATTCTTGTGTATTCGAGGCGTGTTAACAGCCGCGCCGGTGGATCAAGCAATGGAACCGAAACCAGATATATCTGAGAATACAGCCATGATGATATCAGAAATTAGATTACGTGTTGTTTTTGAGATGAAGTCGGAAATTATTGAAGCAGAAATCGATATATCAGTAAGAGCAACCATGGAAGAATCTCAGCTAAAAACCATAAATACAGAAGTTATCAAAGCTGAATTAAAAGCAGGGTCTAATGCTAATCTCATAAAAGCAGAGGTGGTTAAAAGGAGAATCCGGAGATACAAATAAAAGAAAATCCTGAAAATCCTGAGCCAGGGAGTGTTGTAAAATGTTGTCCAGTTTGTAAAGATGATTTCACATGTGATGCTTCATTTACAGAAAATGTTAAAAGACATGACCCTGAAAATGCAACAGGGGGCAAGATAAGCACATAGATGAAGAATGTGACGATCAGTGGGAGAGATGCAACGTTTCACCTGACATTACTAGTTCTAATAAGTCATCTTATAACCTCAGAGCTCGACAAGCCAAGCACTTAATGTCGTCCAATATCTTATATAAAGATCAGCAAGAAGAAAGCGATAAAAACCATTTCGAATGCTCACAATGCTCTTATGTCACTTCTAATAAAGGTACTTTTACAGATCATTTAAAAACTCATACCAGAGTGAGAAACCCTCGTCGATCTCTAGAAAATCAAAAAGACTCTCAGAAAGGTGAAACACCTTATAATTGCCCTGAGTACTCGTATACAAGCACTTACCAAGACACATACATTGAACACCTTAAAACTCACGATTCTCCTTCCAGTGCCAAACGACTCAGGTCTAATGAAAAGAAACCTCATAAATGTTCGTTTTGCAACTATTCTGCAGCTTTCAAAAGTGTCATCTTGTGTCACCAAAGAGTCCACACGGGAGAAAGACCCTTCAAATGCACAGAATGTGACTACACTGCTATTTTCAAACATAATCTCACAAACCACCAAAGAAGACACACGGGAGAAAGATCGTACACATGCTCATATTGCTCGTATGCTGCTTCAGTGGCAGGGACTCTTTCTCGACATATGCGGATCCATAAGGGCGAGAAACCCTACAAATGTCCTGATTGTACTTTCGCTTCAAATCAGAGACATCGCCTGATTAGACATCAGAAAAGGATTCATTGAAAGCCTGATTTGTGCTATTCTGACCAGAAAATTATATATTGTTTTTTTGAACTGCTTTAAAAGTAACCTTTTAAAATTGAATCATGCAAATTGGAAAGGTCGAAGTTTATATAGGAGGGTTGCAACTCGATACAGTAATTCCCCGATTTATCACGGACCCCAATTTACCCCGATCAATGCAACCCCCGCCGTTGCCTTTCCCGCAAACTCTGCGGTATATCGGGGTTTTACTGTACGTAAAAATCGCTAAATAGGCATTTCATTAATTAAGGTTGACCTACAGAGCAAAAATTTAAATAATGATTTTCGAATACTACCAATCCCTGAATTATGTGCCGACCTCGATCTGAACCGCTATTTTTGTTTGCCGAATCGGCTCGAGTTGTTTGGTAGCCACTGCTTCACCGTTGTATGTTAAGTTGTATTTTAAGTTATTTTAAATGCTCTTTAATTGGAATTCCTCAATCGTACATTTAGACTGTTAGAATACTTTACGTACCACGTTTTGAATACTAATTACAGCACACCACATAAAATATTCTGTAAACAGCACTTTTACAATAATTGTAAGTTAAACTTTCACGCATATTAAAAATTACTAACAAATCCATCTCCATTATCCAGGATGTACTGAAATGTATGCTTTAGGAAATGTAAGAGTTACTCAACTATGATAAGAATTCGTTCTCTGCGGACTTGTTACAATGGATTAGCAGTGCACTTAGCCAACAAAGGTAGGCCTCTTACTTCTGTAATAGTGGGGGGGGGGGGTAGGTAATAGTAGGGGGGGGGCGGGCTTCTGTAATAGTGGGGCGGGGGGGGGGGGGGGGGTGTCAGGTAATAATAGGGGGGGGGGGTAGGTAATAGTAGGGGGGGTGTCAGGTAATAATAGGGGGGAAGGGGGGGGGGGTAGGTAATAGTAGGGGGGGGGGGGGGTAGGTAATAGTGGGGGGGGGGGGGGGGTGATATAAACACATATTATTCATGCAATCGAGATACTTATTTAATATTCTACTTGAAAAGAATTGATTAGTTGAATGTTTGAATTGGCAGTACGCCGAGATAATATGTATTATAAGTATGTATATTTAAGTAGTTACTTATACTCACTATCTGTATAAATTTCTAAGTATTTTGATGCGTAATAGTCATCAGTAAATAGTGATGTTGTTTGTTCAGGACAGCAGAAGAAAGTTTGCAGTCGGGGCTTGTCAGGAGATAAGCCCCGTTTTAGGACGGCAGAACCAAACTTCTTCGGCTGGCAGGAGCAGATAAGGGAGGATTTCCGTAAAAAGGCTGAGGAAAAGTAAGTTTAATGATTTTTTGAACCCATTTGTAGTTTTAATCAGTGTGAAATTATTATTTGTATAATATGGTGATGCTGATTTTTACAGTCTTAACTTTTTAAGTGTTGAATATACACGTGTAATTACAGGGGATTGACGAAGTTTGATGAGAGAGCGTATAACGAGAGCGTAAAGTTAACACTGGCACAGGATGATGGATCTGGCACCGAGAAAGAAAGAAAGGTTCTTACACAATATCATCTCTATTGTTAATATTATTAATTTTAATTAATTGATCCTTTGATAAAGACATAATTTTATAAACTACATGATTCGAATAACGTTTGTCATAATACCATGAAACTCAACCTAGCATTATATCTAACCTCTCCACCCAACAGACAATGATACTGAAGTCAGCAATACAGCTGTACAACGAGCGCCAGCCCCGTCTCCGACAAGACCACCCTCAGTTCGTTAACTGGTGCATTCTCCGCATGTTCGAGTTCGACATAGTGGACGATATTGAGTTATACGAGTTACTATTCGAAGTGTATCCCCCGCACATGTACCACACATACGGGTTTATAGCTAGCTATCTTCCTAAACCCAGTGCAGGGTTCTACACTGCAGTGGACCTTGTAACCATCGGACGGCAACGCAAGGTTAAACCTAGCTACAAACTGTATTATAATGTGGTTAAAGCGTTTGGGGAAAGACACACTATCACTAAGGAGGTACGGCGGTGGGCGTGGTTTCACTATGTCTTCAAACATTCCAACCCTTATCCAATGCCTGACGGCTCCTACGAGTTCTCCGAGCTTGCTTTAAAACACCAGGAAATGGCGGAGTATATCGCAGATAGAACAATGGATCAGAGATGTAAATTCAAACCACTGAAAGACAGTTTAGGAGAGTACGTGGGTCACTCTGTAATGTCGAGAACACAGGAGGACTTGTCTTTGTTGCAGGTGCCGGATGATAACATGAGGATTACAGGACCTCACTCTGTCTGGGTGGGCAGGGTTCAGAGGTGGTATTGGGTGTTGAGGCGCGAGGAGCGCGGGGATGAGTTTGAGGGTAAGTCTTTCAGTTTTCTGTTTTGTTACCATTTAGCTTTTTTATTTTAGAAGAGTGTCCTCTTTTTTTGCATAAGAATCAGAATAATGTTCCAGATATGGGACAAAGCCTGGCTGAACATTCTAAATGTAATAATATGCATAATTGCTTGAAAATAATCATGAGCATCTATTTAAAAAATTGATAGTCATTGCACCCCAAAGCACATTTTTCAGCTTCTTTATTTTTGCAGGAGCTCCTCTCGGTATATTTGTATCTCCTTTCAAGGAGATGTCAAAAGAAGGAGCTGGAATATGGTTAGAAGACTGCAGACAGAGATATAAGGGGATCGCTGGCTCTAATATATTGTTCGATGTTCCTGATGAAAGTTTGTACATCGATGCTGAAGGTAATTATGGAAATTTAGGTCCTTATTTTCATTTTGATTTGTTCGTTCAACTCATTCTATTCCTTAGACTTTGAGAAAAAGTGCTTATATTTATAAATTTATGTTTTTAGTTACTGCCTGTATTGAATAATTTATAAACTAAAAGCTTGTAAACTTTCCAGAACATTTCAAAGAACGTGTGTCACTGTTTTCCGATGGAATAGAGGAAGTTCACATCCATGATTCAATTCTTCCTGATGTTGTGGACGAAAAAAGAAAAAATCTTGTGAAAAAACTTTCGTCATCTAAAGATATTAAATTTGTTAGAGATAGAGACGCCCACGACAAAGACGATGAATGGTGACGAAATTTCTCAAATCTAGTTCTGAAATCTAGCCTTTAATTTAAGTTATATTTTTTACTCTTTTTATTTGAGATCCTCACTTTCAAGTTTTAGTTGTGGTTTATCGACGCTGCTGTTTTCCATTATTTATTAACACCCTACGACTGGAAATCTTTACTATGAAACTGTTCGAATAAAGATAGCTCTACGTGAAAATTTTACTTTGAAGATGTATCATGCCTTGATTTCCGATTTAAAATCACACAATCGGATAGGATATTGAATTACTGTCCCCAAGCCCCACCTCTACCAACATAGCAACCTGATCTCACCCTCTTTCTCACTTATACCAGAATTCATGATCGCAGAATGATGCAAAAATAGCGGCCAATTCCTGGTCACAGGTAAAATATTGTGTTTTTGTAGGGCGCGAAGACAAAATTACTTGAATCACAGAAATGAAGCATACGATTATCGTGGGCGCGCATATCATCTTCATTTCTCAATCTTTTTAGAGTCCCTCGATAATTAAACGAAATAATAACGATCTCACTCCATATTTAAGCATGGAAAAATGCATAACGGAGTTGGAAAATGACATATCACTGGAATTTGATCCCGAAGTTGAGGCTGCTATAGCAGAACTGCTGCCCTCGAATGACCCGCTACACTGCAAAGATTTCTCAGCTATCGACTATATCAACACCATCTTCCCCACCGAGCAGAGTCTGACAAATATTGATGATGTTGTAAGTTTTATCACATTCTGTTTTGATGTTTAAATTTAAAGTTGTTGCATTTGTTTACAGGTCTCTATCACACTAAAAGTAAAATAGAAATTATTCCTCTCGGATTTTATTGATCATGACGTGACCTTTCAAGCTTCCTCAAAAGTAACCAAACATTTCTTTATTTCAGGTCCACAAAATGAACAGTAAAATCAGACAACTTGACAATGACATACGCCATCTCATCAAGGAACAAACCATGGCCGCTGAAGACGGCAGAGAGGCACTCGAGAGTTCCAAACAGAGCATCGCCACTCTCTTCAACAAGATAAAAGAGATTAGAGATAAGGCAGAGCAAAGTGAAACTACCGTTAAAGAGATAACAAGCGATATAAAACAGCTGGACCACGCTAAGAAGAACCTGACTAGTTCCATCACCACTCTCAACCACCTGCACATGCTAGTAGGAGGTGTTGAGAGTCTAGCCACTCTTATTAAACATAGAAAATACGATGAAGCAGCCCCATTATTACAGGGAGTCATGTACGTAATGCACCATTTCACTCCCTATCACCAGATCCCGCAAATAAAGGATCTCTCTGATAAACTTGACAAGCTTCTGAGGGATCTAGCTGCGCAGATAAGAGGAGATTTCGAGGAGGCTCACAGTTTATATGAGTGTAAGTTAAACTGCCAGCTATCCTTAGCTGATGCGTGTTTAGTGGTGGACGCTTTGCAGCCCCGAGTGAAAGAGGATCTTGTTAACTGGTTTGTGGATCGTCAGCTTACCGAGTACAAATCCTTGTTTAGGGAATACGATGAAGTTTCGTGGTTAGATAAATGTGATAGAAGGTATGCCTGGTTAAAGAGGTGTTTTCTCGAGTACGAAGAGGACTGTGCCCGGATATTTCCAGAGCACTGGAACATGCCGGGGAAAATAGCCAGCGATTTCTGTAAAGTCACACGGAAAATGTTAGAGAAGCAGATGAAAAATCGTGTCTCGGAGTTGGATGTTAAACTGCTCCTTTTCGCAGTTCAAAAAACCCAAGCTTTTGAGAAGCTTCTAATGGAACGATTCGAACAAGAACCAAAAAGGGAACTGGACTCTGCAACAGACGGAGAAACGGAAAAGAAAGAACCAGAATCATTCCACAACGCAATGTCACAGTGCTTTGAGATGTACTTGAACGTGTATATAGATTCCCAGGATGTAAACCTGACGGAGCTGGTAGAGAAGTTTGTTCTGGAGCTAAAGGAGGGAGGTGTCCCTACTTACCAGGTTGGAGATCCTGCTCCACTACTACCCTCCTCCTCCGACCTGTTCGTCTTCTACAAGAAGTGTCTTGTGCAGTGTTCTCAGCTATCGCAGGTTCGTCGAGTCGGGAAGTCAGGATTTAAGTAATACAAATTATTTATTTACACTTTGGTGATAGAGGAACCCAGAATAGATTAGTCTTTAAAGTGCGAAATTTTCATTTCAGAGAGAGATATCGTAGAGCACTGCATGTACAGATAAAATTGTAAAGATCTGATATGTTATTTAACACCTTATTCTATCATTTCAGGGACAAGCTCTGGTTGACCTAACGGAAGTATTCAAGAAACATCTCCAAAATTATCATAGCAGTCTTCTAATGCCCAGTCTCCCTAACAAGTCTTCAGGTTTAAATTATATTTTGTGCCATGTATTTAACTTATGTAGGGTGTGTGCCTGGAATTGATATTCTAAATTCTTCAAGAGTTGATTAATAATTAACACCCTACTATAACCAGGATTCGCCTCATCCCTGCTGAAAGACAAGGACAACAACAAAGTAGCAATGTCAGAAGTGGTTATGATCTGCATTGTCTTGTGCACGTCTGAGTACTGCCTAGAAACAACCCAGCAACTCGAGGATAAAATCAAGGAAAAAGCCCAGGAGGCGTACGCTGAAAAGATCTCCTTCAACAGCGAGCAAGAGCTGTTCTCCAACACCATCACCACGTGTCTTCAGGAACTAGTCCTCCACCTAGACTCACTCTGTGAGCCTGCACTAAGTGCCATGTTGAAGGTTAACTGGTCTACTTTGGACTCAGTAGGAGATCAAAGCGCGTACACTACCTCCATAACCTCCCATTTAGCAGCGACTGTGCCCGCAGTGCGAGACCTCCTCCACAACTCCCGGAAATACTTTACCAACTACTGTCTCAAGTTTGCTAACAGCTTCATACCCAAGTACGTTAACCAGATCTACAAGTGTAAGCCGGTGAGTACAGTGGGAGCTGAGCAGTTGTTACTGGATACTCACTCTCTGAAGACAGTGCTCCTGCAGCTACCCTCTCTGGGGAGTGCTGTAGCGAGGAAACCTGCTCCTAGCTTTACTAAAACTGTTAGCCAGGGCATGGTTAGAGCTGAAATGATACTCAAGTTGGTCATGGCTCCTTCTGAGTCCCAGATCGCTTTTGTGGAAAGTTATATCAACCTGCTGGCTGACAAGGATATTGGAGATTTCCAGAAGGTTTTGGAAATGAAAGGGTTCAAGAGGTCCGAACAGATGGACATGATTGAGTTGTTTAAGAAGACCGCGAATATTTCGGACTCTGAGAATGTAGCTAGTGTAGCGGACCAGGACTCCAGTAGAATTAGAAAGTTGGAGAAACTTATCAAGAAGCAGTTTTAGTTACAACAAGTTGGTTTATTTTATGGCATAACCGAAAGATCCAAGGTGTTTATTCTGTTGAGATTGGATTCGAGTGAATTAAAATTATTTTGTTTACGTTTTAGTCGTAAGAGCTGGACTCTTTCACTATAAGGTTATCTTAAGGTTGTTTGAAAGTTAAGTTACGATATTTGAGTTAAAATTCATTGCATGAAGAAATGAAGAATGAGGATGCAGTTTTAGTAGTCCCTGTTTGATTTCAATAACCAACCATGTACATTATATCATTTAGAAAATCACGTTTGTTATTATGAAAATGTTACTGTTGTTAATATGAAAATCATTATATGGGGCTGAATAACTGTTCTAAGTTTGACGCTTTGAATTAAATTGCGCTCTTTCCACAGAGTACAGCAGTCATCCATACGTAAGCTCCAAATCTCACCCACAGTCCAATCACGAAACGTTCTCAAAATTTGCTATTTCATGACTTTTTCGACCCCAACTGAAATATCACACATAGCAATTCCTGACATGTAGGCCACACAGTGAACATATTAACTCAGCAAAACTGCAGTAGAAGCTATGCTGGAGGGCTTGTCAGCCGAGTATTCTCATATATTATACAGTGGAGATCCCTAGTTGCCATGCGACCTGTGATTTTCAACAAAATGGGCTACCTGTCGAAGGATTCCTACCGAGCAAGAGCTGTATAGTGTATATGTCACATGGCAAGTAGGCATAGTAGAATATGGGCTCATTGTGAATCGTACACTGCTGAGTTTGTTGACCATGTGAAGAGTACGTTAATGCACGACAAGTTGTTTGATAATGCTAGCCACATCAATTAGGGACTGGTATCTATCTAATGACTCCCTTTATTTGTTTGTCACTGTTTCAGATTTCGTGCGTTCCCTACGATACTATGAATTGGTTACTATAACAATATAACTTTGGATATTTTACATTTCTGTAAACGTTTCAGACTTTTAACATTTATTTAACATTTATTAACAATTTTCTTCAAGTAGATAATACTATGTTGATGAACTTCGACCTGGTTCTTTGGAAGGCGATACTGGTATCTCTGGGATTAGCTGTCTTGTTTGTTACTAGTCTTTATATATGGCCGCAGAAATACCACAGGAATCATCCAACTTGTGTAAAACAGAGGTTTGATAATATTTAATATGAACTTACGTCATGTTTGTTTGATATGAGACAATTATTAAAAAAATCGAACCATTGAATCAAATATCGCATACCCCCCTCCCCTCCTCCTATAAAATAACTATTTGCAGGATGTTCAGTGCGCTATTAATCACAATACTCTCACCGTGTTACCTAATATTATTTGGTGACACTTCCTCTGAACACTACCGCCTACTAGACTGGATAGGAATAAGGGACCCTCTCTCCGCTCTCATCCCTCTCTCACTCACTCTCCTGCTCTTCTCAGGTTAGTTACTAATTACTAATTACTAATTACTAATTATTACTTATAACTCCATCATCCCTCTCTCACTCACTCTCCTACTCTTCTCAGGTTGATTACTAATTAATAATTACTAATTACTAATTACTAATTATTACTTATTACTCCATCATCTAGTAGGGAGTTTTTGACTAGTGTAGGAACTCTAAGTCTAAGAAAGTAGTTTTCTGAGTGGAGGTGTGATGATTAATTATTGCTTCACCTCATTTAAATTTCATTAAACCCATCACCTGGTTTATTGTCCTGAATTCATTAATAAGTTGGCTGAACTTTTAGTCGCTTTCATAGATATTCTTGTTTTTATCACTTAAGTTTCTATCACTTAAGTTACAAGTTTTATATTTTAAATTATGTTGGTGCGTCACATTTCACTTGTTATTGAGAACAATTATTATTGGAACTCGATGAAATTCGTCGCTGAAGAAAAACTTTAATCTAGAATTGTCACAGGAATCGTATTTAAAACAATACACTAAATTGTCAAATAAAAACGTTGCCAAAAAATGCGTAATGAAAATTAAATTTTCGGAGTAAAAATGATGTCAACAAGATTAAAGCTGTAAAGATCTATTGATTAACGTAACACTGTTGTAAAACTAAGAATTCAGAAAGCTAACAGATTAATTAATTTCCCAGTTTAAAAAATGTCTGTAATTGTTCTATCAGTACAACAGTTAAATCTGTGTGTGAAATCTTCCTCAAGAAGAATCAGTCATCTCCGCAACTCTTCCCGTCGTGGAAGAATTTAAAGTGAGAAATAAACCGCTCCGTTACCGTTGCGCCTTCAAAATCACCTGACGATATGGGAAGTTGGTCGTTTACCTCCGGACAGTCTATGCAACGTCTATGCAACGTCCGTGCAACAACAAAAGAACCGTCTATGCAACGTCTATGCAACGTCCCTGCACAATGAACACTCTATGCACACTCCCTGCACGGTCAGTCTATGCAACGTCTATGCAACGTCTATGCAACGTCCCTGCACAGTACCATATGAACACCGGCTACTAGCCGGCTACTAGCCGGCTAGTAGCCACTTTTGTAATAACAGCTCCTCAACTTCACATTAACAACCGGCTACTAACCGGCACTTGAAAAGTGGTCACTAGCCGGCTACTAACCGGCTACTAGCCGGCTAGTGACCACAAAGTGGCTACTAACCGGCTACTAAGCGGTCACTAGCCGGCTATTAGCCGAGCTCTAAAGCAGACCTACTAGTAGCCGGTTCCAAACCGGCTACTAGCCGGCACTTAGAAAGCGGTCACTAGCCGGCTACTAACCGGCTACTAACCGGCTAGTAACCACCAAGTGGCTACTAACCGGCTACTAACCGGTCACTAGCCGGCTCTTAAGCGGACCTACTAGCCGGCACTCGAAAAGCGGTCGCTAGCCGGCTACTAACCGGCTACTAACCGGCTAGTAACCACCAAGTGGCTACTAACCGGTCACTAGCCGGCTCTAAAGCGGACCTTCTAGTTCCAAACCGGCTACTAGCCGACACTTGAAAAGCGGTCACTAGCCGGCTACTAACCGGCTACTAACCGGCTAGTAACCACCAAGTGGCTACTAACCGGTCACTAGCCGGCTCTAAAGCGGACCTTCTAGTTCCAAACCGGCTACTAGCCGACACTTGAAAAGCGGTCACTAGCCGGCTACTAACCGGCTACTAACCGGCTAGTAACCACCAAGTGGCTACTAACCGGTCACTAGCCGGCTCTAAAGCGGACCTTCTAGTTCCAAACCGGCTACTAGCCGACACTTGAAAAGCGGTCACTAGCCGGCTACTAACCGGCTACTAACCGGCTAGTAACCACCAAGTGGCTACTAACCGGTCACTAGCCGGCTCTAAAGCGGACCTTCTAGTTCCAAACCGGCTACTAGCCGACACTTGAAAAGCGGTCACTAGCCGGCTGGTGGGTACTAGCTGGTTAGTAGACGGCTACTAACCGGCTAGTACTAACCTGCTCTAGGCGACTCTAAATCAGACCGGCTATAATTCATTATTGCCAAATAAACAAATTATTTGAAACAAATTATTTGAAACTTGTTATTTGAAACTTGTTATTTGAAACAAATTATTGAAATGAATTATTTGAAACAAGTTATTTGAAACACGTTATTTGAAAGTAAGTTCCAAAATCGATTACAACATTTTTATGAAAAATAAAAAAATACTGAAAACTGATTACATTCAATTTCTTCGTGGTGGAGGAGCAGTGTAATTGTTTTTGGGCGCTAGGACGACGCCTTGGGTACAAAGGGTCCTAAGAGTGGCAAGATTACGGTTGCAGATCTCGTTTGCGAAGGTGTAAACACTAGGAAGTCTGACGTCTCGTAGTTGCAGCAGTGCGTGTTGGACACCTGGTAGGTCAACTTTTGCTGCTTCAGCGATACATCGCTTTCTTGAGAAGTGACTCCGAGAAATGTGTATCTGCTCCAGAGCGGCAGACTTTGAGAGACCAGAGTTGACTAGCTGCACAACGGCGTCGTATTCCGCTATAACCCCGTCTAAAGAAAATATCCGCCTCGTTCTGCGACCAGTAGGCAGAGCAGCAGCAGCATTGGGAGCAGGTTGCTGATCAGTAGCAGGTTGGTGTCCAGGAGCAGCTTGCTGAGCAGGAGGTTGAGGAGAATTGGGAGCAGGTTGTTGATCAGTAACAGGTTGCTGTGCAGGAGCAGGTTGAGGAGCTGGAGGTTGAGGAGCTGGAGGTTGAGGAGCTGGAGGTTGAGGAGCTGGAGGTTGAGGAGCTGGAGGTTGAGGAGCTGGAGGTTGAGGAGCTGAGGTTGAGGAGCTGGAGGTTGAGGAGCTGGAGGTTGAGGAGCTGAGGTTGAGGAGCTGGAGGTTGAGGAGCTGGAGGTTGAGGAGCTGGAGGTTGAGGAGCTGGAGGTTGAGGAGCTGGAGGTTGAGGCGGTTGAGGAGCAGCAGCGGTACGAGGAGCAGCAGCGGTACGAGGAGCTAGTCCTGGAACAGTGGGAGGAGGAGGGGGTGGGGTAGGTCTTGAAGTAGAAGAGGTTCTAAGTCGGTGATTGGTGGTGGGGATAGGTCTGTTTGGTCGAATTGTGGGTGTAGAGTGCAGGGAGCACGGATCGATGTGTACTATAATCTGTAGATAATCTGGGTCCTCTCTGTAAGCGCTTCTAACAGTCCGAATGCAGGCAGTACATCTGAGGGAGGGAAGGTCGGGACTGTAAGTCCTTCTGGAGCAGATTGAGGAGATGTGACCGGTAGACCCACAGTGATCGCATTTAGGAGCAGGTGTAGGAGCGGTATATCTGTTTCTTCTGGTCCGCATGTTGATTAAGAGTAAAGAATGATGTATAGTAAAGAACGATGTAAAGAACGAGGGATAAATAAGTTGGTGGCTAATGCTACTTATATAGTTTTTGGAAAGGCCTGCAGGTCCGTCAGGGCTCGTTATACCCATGGTTATTTGATCTGATCTATCATGCATGGTGTCACGTCAAATCCTAACGATTGCGGTGATCCGTTAGAACTCAATTGGGGATCACATCGTTTTCACTGATCACGTCCCTGCAGGGATTCTTATGCAAAAGGAGGGATATAACCTAAACAATCTTGATAAAAGGATTAAAAAATGACTATGATACTTGATGCGTCCCATATCATAAATAATTTGGGATCCATCAGTTTCGGTTCGGTTTATAGATCGTTTCTTAGTAAAGTGGGAGCAAGCGGAGCATTCGTCTATTTTCAAAATGTAATAATTGCGATATTACTCGTCAGCCAGCGCAGGCCAGCGCAATATAGTTGCGATATTGTTCGTCAGCTACTGCTAGTGCCGGCTACTGCTAGCGCTGGCTAGCGCCATGTATAGAAATCGGCTCTAACTAATTCGCTCGCCCAAATTTTCACGTGCCGTTTTTATGGTTTTGCAGCCAAACAAAACGGTTTTACAGACACCCTAATCCCAACCTTAACCCTAACCCCGAAGCTATTCATAACCCTAACCACAACCGTGGTCACTATTAACCAATGTCTCTATTAACCAATGTAAACAGTTCTGCGTGAGAAATTCGAGCTAGCTTGCTCAGGCTAAATTGGCCAAATAAGCTCAGTGAAGCTAGCACTCACACAACACTTGCCACAAAGGTTTAGCTACCTGTTATTAACACTAGCAGGAACCCATTAACCCTAAAGTGGTGTCAAGACTTTAGGAGGCCGGATCAGTTTCCTGCCGCAAAGTCTCCCAGTGAAAATTATTATTACCTATTTAATTCACGTTTTTGACACCACTTGGAAGTCCGAATTTTGGGCACTAAAATTCTTATTTCTTGGCCAATTTTTTTCCCTGCTCTTGCCGAAGGCAAAAAGATCGTAGGGATCGGAATAAGTAATCGGGTTTGGATATATGAGGTGAAAAAATGATCCTACGTCTATGACAAAAGTCTGCGCCTTCACAATATAGACCACTCTGCATAAATTGGGGGTATTATTGGCGTTTGTTTTGCTGCGCGCGACGACAGCTATGTGTTAATTAATTGTTTTATCCAACGCGAATTTCAATTGTCAAACGATGCCGTTTAAATAAATTAGCCCCACATTTGTGCGCGGCGTACTAAATATTCGATTATAATCCTGCACGCGCGCAATGATAAATTACGATTAAAAACATTGTACTTATGAATTAAGCAACTTATATTATTACTGAATATTTTCGTAACTTATGACATGACAACAAAATAATGCAATATCCTATTTTTTTTGACTCAATAAGATTAAACTTTTCATTGCAAACATTAACGGTTTGAGCAGGGAAAATCGTGCGTGGTGTGACCGCGGCGAAATTCTTGCTTATTTTTTTATGTTGATTTGAAGGCCATTAAGGCCCAGTCATAACAAATTTGAGTATTATATCTTTTACGGTTTTTGCGGAACGTCGTGTTAAAGTTGATGCCCTGGTGTCAGTAAAATGGTAGCAAATATATATAATATAAATAATTAT